CGCCCGAGGCCCCTCACTCACCGCTGGCCTCGGTCGATTCCCCGCCAGAGGCCTCGGCCGAGGCCACCGACCCTCCGTCTCGCCAGCAAGGCGGGCTCGGCAAGACTCGCTACCTCTTCCTTCTCCCGCCCCTCCGCAAAACGTCAGGTCGTGATCAATCTCAGCCCAATCACTGCGCCTCGACAACAATACCAGATGCCTAAGACAAGAGAACAGAATGGCCGATGGGGACAGAGGCAGGATCAAGGGGGTTACCCGCCACATCAGATTTAACCACTGTGCACATGGTTGACGCCCATGCCTCACTATGTCGCCAACTCCCGCTGCTCCAAGGACAACGCAGCATGGGGAGCCACGTCTGGCCATCGTGGCCTCGGAATCAAGCACCCAGAGCAATAACTCCCCCAAGGCCTCGACAGTTTGCTTCACGGGCTCGGCACCGAGGACCCATGTCCGCTTAAAGCCCCCGCGATGGCTTGGCCTCGCACCCACAGAGCCACACCCCTCACGACGCCATCACGCTGATGACTCAGACGTCCCCGGATCGGGGGGGGTTACCCGTCACTATGCTATCCACCGTGCACATGGTTGACACCCATGCCTCATCAGGCCGCCAACTCCCCGCTCCAAGGACAACGCAAGATGGGGAGCCACGTCTGGCCATCGTGGGCCTCGGAATCAGCACCCAGGCCAATAACTCCCCAAGGCCTCGACAGCTTGTTTCACGGGCTCGGCAAACTGAGGGTCCATGACCACCGAGCCCCCACGATGGCTCGCCTCGCAAGATCCGCAGAGTCATTGCTCCCCACGACGCCATTACACGGCGACCAAAGACGTCGCCCGCCATGTCCTCGCAGATCAAGTCGCACTGGAGCCCCACGACGACAAGACCGAAGTATGACCAAAGATGTCACTTCAAGATGACAAGGACGGGCCACTCCATCGACCATACCACAACAAAGGGTCGACTACGTGGCTCGGACACGCCACCCCATTTCTGTAAGCGCTTATGTAGCACCTCTGCACGGTCCCGGTCCTCCCTTAGAGTATAAAAGGAGGGACTGGGGCCATTTCGAGGGAGGCCAGAAGACGAACACACCGATAGAACCACGCACTCCCACGCCGCTTGGGAACAACGCCTCAAGCAGCCCGCACCACACTCGCCGAGACCGGGGCTAGTTCCTCTCTCACCTAGCTTGTAACCCCTACTACGAGCACTCCGGTGCAAGGAATACAAGATCGATCTCTGACCGGACGTAGGGCCTCGATTGCCCTCGAACCCAAGATAAACCTTGTGTCTCTTTGCGCCACCATCCGGGATTAGGGGCACGCAGCACAAATTCACTCGTTGGTTGAGGGACCCCCGGTTTCAAAACACCGACAATCATATTATGTTATTTTCATTGATGACTATTCGAGATTTACCTGGATTTATTTGATGTCTTCTCGTGGTCAATTTCTTTCTATTTACCAGCAATTTGCCACCATGATCCGTACCCAGTTCAACTCTCTCATTCGAGTTTTTCGTGTGGATTCTGCTGGTGAGTACATCTCCACTGCTCATCGTTCCTACCTTGCTGAGCAGGGTACTCTTGCCCAATTTTCATGTCCTGGTGCTCATGCTCAAAATGGTGTTCTTTGGCGCAAGCATCGCCACACTCTTGAGACTGTTTCGTGCTCTCTTGATCTCTTCTATGCTTGCTCCTCATTTTTGGGCTGAGGCGGTTTCTACAACTGTTTTTCTTATAAATCGCCAACCCTCTAATTGTCTTCGGGTTGCACATATGAGCGTCTTTTTGGCACCCTCCTTCCTATAGCCATCTTCGTTGTTTTGGGTGTGTGTCATTACGCCCTACTTCCACCTCGTATGCACCAAACTCACCGCTTTCACCTGTTGAGTGTGTTTTTCTTGGGTACAAGATCACGGAACATAAGGGTTATCGCCGCTATAACCCTGTTGCTTTCGTCGGATGAGGATTTCTCGGGATGTCACCTTCGATGAGTCCCGGCCTTACTATCTTCGTTCCCCTTCCGGTTCTTTCGGGTACCACCGAGTCCCTCTCATTCCTCACTTTACTCCGAGTGGTATCTTCCCGCTGTCGTCTCCATCCTCTTCACCCCTCGTGTATCTTTTACTCCGCCTCCACCACCACCACCTACTTCTCCACCTTCACCACCTCCTCCTACCTCTCCACCACCAGCCTCTCCTCCACCATCATCGTTCGTCCTTCCCGTGAGATCACTTACTACTACACTCTCGTCGTCCGCGCCTGCGCCACCACTTGACTCTTCTCCGTCCATCCTTGGACCTCATCCCGAGTCTCCTCGTTTTCTTCGTGATCGCAGCACCCTTCGTCCTCCCGATCGCCTTTGGCTTCTTCTTTGCCGTCTTGGCCGAGCCGCGACCTATCGGGAAGTCGTTGTTCACCGAGAGTGGCAACATGCTATGGTCGAGGAGATTGCTGCCCTAGAACGTCATCGGCACTCGGGATCTTGTTCCTTTGCCACCTCACGTCACTCCTATCACTTGCAAGTGGGTGTACAAGGTAAAGACCCGCTCGGATGGCTCTCTTGAGCGCTACAAGGCTCGTCTTGTGGCGCGCGGCTTCCAACAGGAGCAAGGTCGTGACAATGAGGAGACCTTCGCTCCTGTCGCGCACATGACTACTGTTCGCACTCTTCTTCTTGCGCTTGCTTCATTCATCGCTGGTCGATATCCCGCTTGGATGTCAAGAATGCCTTCCTCAATGGCGAGCCCTGCGAGAGGAAGTCTATATGCAGCCACCTCCGGGATACTCTGTTCCTGATGGCCTGGTTTGTCGGTTGCGCCGTTCTCTCTACGGCCTCAAGCAAGCTCCTCGGGCCTGGTTTGAGCGTTTCTCCCGTTGTCATCGATGCCGGTTTTACGCCAAGTGATCACGACCGCTCTTTTTGTTCACACTTCCCCTCGTGGTCGCACCCTTCTTCCTCTCTATGTCGATGACATGATCATCACGGGCGATGATTCCCAGTACATTGATTTTGTGAAGCAGCGTCTCAGTGAGACATTCCTTATGTCTTATTTGGGTCCCCTTTGTTACTTCCTTGGTCTTGAGGTCACCTCCACATCCGATGGTATTTTTTCTCTCGGAGAAGTACACTCAGACATTCTTTCTTTCCGTCGCTCTCATCGATCACCGTGACCGTTGATACTCCTATAGAGCTTGGTGTTCACCTACGACCCAATCGATGGTGTACCACTTGCTCGATCCTTCTCGCTATCGTCGCCTTGTTGGGAGTCTTCTTTGTCTACCTTGGGATCACTCGTCTCGACATTTCTCACTCTGTGAATATCTTGAGTCGCTTTGTCTCAGCTCCTACCCAACTCCACTATGCTCACCTCCTTCGTGTTCTGCGATACCTTCGTGGAACTATCTCTCGGCGCCTTTTCTTCCCTCGTTCTAGTTCTCTTCAGCTCCAGGCGTATTCTGATGCGACCTGGGCGAGTGATCATTATGATCGCTACTCTCTCTCTCGCCTATTGTGTTTTCCTTGGCTCCTCCTTGATTGCTCGGAAAACCAAGAAGCGAATTACGATTTCTGCTTTCGAGTCTTTGAGGGTTGAGTGCTATGGCTATGGCGGCGATCGTGGATCATGGAGGTGACATGGCTACGATGGCTTCTTGAGGATTTTGGTGTGCCTGCCACTGCACACACTCCTCTCTCTTCTGACAGCACCGGTGCGATCAGTATTGCTCGAGACCCAGTCAAGCATGAGCTCACCAAACACATTGGCGTTGATGCTTCCTACATGAGATCGCAGTGCATGATCCGGTTGTGACGCTCCACCATATGCCTTGAGAGGTTCGAGCGAATGATTTCTTCACCAAGGCACAGACACGGGCTCATCATAGGTTTCTACTCTCCAAACTCAGTGTTGTAGATTTCTACTCTCCACCATGAGTTTGAGGGGGGTGTTAGATGTATAGGACGTGTATGTGTTTTCCCTCTACTTGGAGGGCTTCTTTGCATATGTACACTGTGTATACTTGCCCTCTTGGGCCTTGCAATACAGTTGGTTGACCTCATTCTAGTCCTTCTAACAAACACAACAAACAAAACCGAAATTCATCCTACATGCTTCACTGACGATAAAAAAAAGCTATCCATTTAAGTGAACCAGCAAGTTCTACAGCACAATAGTCAATAGGTGGGACTAAAGAAAATTATGAAGCATTTGTTGAATTGGACTATTCAGGGCAAGCACTTTCCTCAATCGATCTCTAGTTTCGCTGTCGAACCCATCAATTGATCTGCCAATTTGCCTGATGAGCCATTCTCAGAACTAAAATAAAGTGCACCTGAGGCTTAATTATTGAGTCATGCTATCACTAGTTGCGTGGAGTACTCCTTCTATTTCTGGAAAAGTATGTACTAAAATATACAGATAAAATACAAAAAACTGAAGTGCATATTACAACCTTACAACTGCGAAATTGCCCTTACCTATTACAGAGAATCGGTTCAGTTTATACTTACGGGGAGCTGACTATGCCTGAGAGCTCAAAACCGCTCGGGACCTCGGGATGCACCGCCTAGAACTCGCCTCCTGTGCTGTGCGCCTGCCTGCCTGGGTGCCGGCCGCACCACTGTCGCAACGCCGACTCCCACCACTAGCCGCTCGCTGCCTGGTTATGCGCCCGGCGACTCCCCGCTGCAGGTACCGCCCCACGCCCCCACCGGCCCACCGCAACCGCCTCGTCCGGTCGTCGGCGCCGCCTAGCGGCCTAGGGCTATCTTTTCTTTCCTTCAGGCATTCACTTGGGCTGGGCCACTGGCTTGGTTTAGAACGGGGCATCTCTCTCTATACGAGGCCTCTGCCTCATGGGCCTGGGTTGGCCCACCCTATATAACGGTCAAGAGCCAAGCGGCATTGCATTCCGGCACATATCCCCCGAGAAAAGCCGGCATTCGCGCACACTCGCGGGCGCAGCTGCGGTGCCCGGCTCAGCGCGGCGGAGATGGAGGGCAACGTCGCCGGAGCTGACGGAGGAGGAGGAGGAGGAGGAGGAGGCGGAGAGCGGTCTAGCTTCGTGATCGGACTCATCGAGAACCGCGCCAAGGAGGTTAGTAACGCTCTAAAGCCCCCTCCGCATTTCCCCGGTTGCTCGATCAATCCGCGCGAATTGGGTTGATTCCTCTCGTGACCCCGTTATCCTCCGCCCGGTGCCCTCGCTGTTCGTCATTCGCGTGCGGGTCGGGGCTCTCCAACTGTGTGAGCTGCTGCTTCGTCAGATTGCTTGCTTCGATTGGTTCGCTGATGCAGCTGCTTCGTCGAATTGCTTGCTTCGATTGGTTCGCTGCTATTGCTTCGTCCGATTGCTTGCTTCAATTGGTTTGATTAGGACTTTTGCAGTTAGTTATTCGGTTCGAGCGTCGCTTTCCATTGTGCTCGAGTTATTCTTCTAGGGTTTAGGGGTTTTAAGGATTGGCCTTTGGTTTATCGGTGTACGATTTTCCTCGGGTTGATCCAGCTGTTATACAGTTGAATTGTGTCTGAGATGAACACAGCTGTCGAGGAGGGCAAAACTATTTCAGTACCCTGCTGTTGAATGGTTCACTAAATGTCTAAATCTGATTTGGTCAGATATTCCAATTTTCGTTGTCTCAGAGTTTATTCTGCTTCCTAGTAGTACATAGCACAAGCTTCATTGCCATTTTATCACAAGGGGGCAGCACCGTAACTATGGTTAAGCAGAAAGTCGTATAGGAGAAGGTTTCCTACAGTAACTATACTTTGATAATGGATTACAAGCTCCTCATTATCAGGGAAAAAGCACAAATGTCATGAACACTTTTTTTAACCCTATTGAGATGGAATGCTAGCGAGCGAAAGGGCTGCTGAGATGCGGGGTTGCAGGAAGCAGGAAAGAGGAATATGCAATAAGTTTTCATGGGAAACATCAAATATAGTATTTTTCTTATAAATCATTAATAATTGAACAATATCAATATATAGTGATTCCCTTATTAGATTAAAATTTTATTCACCTGTTTTACTGTTTATTAACTACTGCAAATTTAGAATTCTATATTTGATTTGTCTTTTCTTAAGTTGCATCTGAATTTGTGTGTCCCATCCCATGCTGAATTGTATCAATTCTTTGTTGTGAAAGTTTTGGAAATAATTATTTTTGTAGCCTGTTAATATTCTGGTTATGAATATAGACATGTACTGTTGTTTCTGTTTACATGCCTTTACGCATAAGCTGATATGTATTATGATGATAAACAAAATAATTCAATTCAAAGTATACATAGATAGAGAATTATCTTGTGAAATGATTTATCCTTGTAATGATTTGGTCATCCTTTTTTGAACAAACCAAGTATGATCTATTAATTATAGAAGACGGTATACTGTTATAGGTTGGTGTTGCAGCCTTTGATTTAAGATCAGCCTCATTGCACCTATCTCAGTATATCGAGACAAGTTGCTCATACCACAATACAAAGACACTACTTCATTTCTATGATCCCATGGTTGTCATTGTGCCCCCAAACAAAACAGCAGCAGATGGTATGGTTGGAGTTTCAGAACTGATCGATAAACATTACCCAGCAAACAAAAAGGTATTTGATATTAACTTGGATTTATTATCTATGTTTTCAGTAAAACTATTGTGTTCTAGTATAACAGAGAATTTTATAGGTTACTATGGCACGTGGTTGCTTTGATGACACAAAGGTACATTTTCTCCTCTTTTACCCCACCCCACTCTCTTCCTTTCTAATGTTGAGGCTGACTAACTTCCCCTTAACACCGTACATGTTCCCCTTTTTTTAAGGGTGCTGTCATTGTGAAAAGTCTTTCAGCTAGAGACCCATCTGCGCTTGGTTTAGATACTTACTGCAAGCAGTATTATCTTTGTCTTGCGGCTGCCACTGCAACAATTAAATGGTATGTGTGCTCAACACACTATGACAGCATCAGGATTTCAACTTTTACAGTTTCCCTGTTAAGGAATAATAACTTTTGAAGTAACTACATGTTTGTTTACTGTAATGCATCTCCTGTGCGTATAATGCAATACTACTGCTTCAGTATCTATTCATGCTGCCAATTACCAAGTTAGGTCTTGTTTCCAATTGTTCCAACGGTTACTGGAGCATAAAAGTTACTGCAACTCCATGAAAAATTCACTCATTTTTAGGCCATGCAGTTCCACTTTTAGAGATGTTCTCTGTGTTGCCACATTTATTTGGGTCGGTTTGAATATGATAACACAAAGAGGCTTTCTTGTTGTTGAAATATCGTAATAAACCCATAAAATCGTGCTCTTTACTGTTCCGTCCATAACACAAGGATCATACTCATATCTAAGCACTTCCATTTGACATTGACGATAACCAATTTAGTAATGTTCCTGCACATTCATTCTTACTTGTTCTGTTATAAAGGGGCAGATTTAAGTTTAAGTTCTGAACTCCAGGAAGGCATCCCACATGGCTTCATCTAGAAATTTTCAACATAAAGCTGTACTTTTAAGTTATCACCTATTCACCTTATCTTCTGTTTAGTTTAAGTTATAGATAACTACGAGTCTTTTTGTGGAGAGAATATCTCAGGAACAGTAGTCCTAGTAATCTATTATAAGCTTGAAAAAGATGGTGTTGTTCCAATACTTGGTTTGATTTTTCATACATTTACAGTTGATTACCTTTATATTGTAAGTCGGTGTTATTGTCCATTTGCTTACTCATTTAATTGTATTTCTCAACCATTGTTTCTTTTTCTGTGCCATCATTCCCTTTTTAATAACTGTTTCAAGTTGAATCTCCCTTTGAATAAAAATTTCACTTATGCTCTGATGTTGATATGGTCATATCACCTTTTTCTGGAATTCAGTTCATCAATTACAAGTCTATCTACTATTACATGAATCTTATGTCGAACTTTTTAAACTTTGTTACAGGATAGAATCAGAAAAGGGCGTGTTCATTACCAATCACTCATTATCAGTAAGTTCTTGGGCAGGAAGGTCTTATTTTGAAGCTGTTGTTTCACCTTGATATTTATTCATTATTATGAACAAGCAGAAATTTGATGCACGCTATTTGTTCCCATTGGATGAGCCCTTCTCTGTATATGCACTGTCTCCAGAAAGTTCTCACTCTAAGTGGAATCCCAGTTGCTATTGGCAACAGATTGTTAATTATGTGTATCTTTTATGATGTTTCAATTCCTAACATAACAATTATTCTAGTGATTGCTGATGCATTACATTCTGTATGCATTGGGATCTTGATGTTTGCTTCAGGGAGCGATTGTTTTAGAAAAAATAAGCAGACATATTATTTTGTTACTTCAATGCCCTTCATTATTTTGTTTCCAAGACTTAGAAGCAGAATACAACACGATTCACTGAATCTAAACCATTCAAAACTGACATGCAACCCTCAAAGATTTATTTGTTTCCTTCAACTTTTGGTGTGCCCCTTAAATCGTGTGTCCTACTACTAAACTAGGAAACTGGGAGTTGGAAGTTGTTGTTCTCCCTTTTCTATCTATTAGAACCATATTCGTAATTATTAAAAGTCTCTCTTTATTGTCAGGTTACATTCAATGGGTCATTTGACCATATGAGTATCGACTCAACTAGGTAATTCTTTTGGGATAATGCACCTTTGAGTCCAATAAAGTTGTATGAATGCCGTTTTGCTCAATCTCCTGCACCAAATGACTGAATGAGAAAGAATAAGATATACTCAAAAACTTGTGCATGGACCTGAATTGCCTTAATTGTCTTATATGCACTCAACAGTGTTCAAACATTGGAAATTATTGATCCTCTCCATACTGAACTATGGGGCACTAGCAACAAAAAGAAAAGCCTCTTTCAGATGCTGAAGACTACAAAGACTACAGGAGGGTATGCCTTCAGACTACCAATTACTCCCTCTTACACTTGTTGACACTTGATAGTTTTCTAGTAGGGTCAATCATGCTAATTTTCAATATAGAACTACTTTTATCTTGCGTACTCTAGAAATCATTCTAGTGTAAGCTATTCACCAATCATTTTTTTTTTACTCGTACATTTGAGAACATGAAGCTATTCTCTTTGACATGCTTATTCCAGGGCTAGATTGCTGAGAGCTAACTTATTACAACCATTAAAAGATATTCAGACCATCAATGCTCGTCTAGGCTGCTTGGTAAGTAGATTTAAGATGTATTTATGGAAGAATACCTGCGGCTTATCTATGGTTCATCATTGATTAACATTTAAAACAATCAAAGTATAGTAAAAGCTTCTGATTTGTATGTTGTTAAGTTAATGTTGGAATATGTATTACATGCTTGGTCTCATTGCCTTTACTTGTGGCATTGTGTTCTTCCTTCCCCCCCACCACCACCACCCGAGAATACGCAGGAGACCTGTGTATCTTTTCATTAGGAAGAAAATAGTTTACTGTTTATAACATGGCCAAAATGGTGCCGCATGCTTGATTTAATGCAAACATTACATGAATTATACGACCAACCTAAAAACAACAAAAGAGCCTAGTGCTGTGATTACTGTCTAGAATATGTAACCCCTGCAGTCAAAGTATTGATCAGTCATCCCAGCACGGCAAGACGCTTAGCCCTTGACTGAATCCATAGGTCAGTTTCTTTGAAAATCATCTGAATGCAGCATTGTGTTCTCACTGTTCTGAGGGCTAAATTGAATTGTCATATAACTAATGGATGTCTGAATGCAGTTTAGACGTTTCAGATTGCTTAAGTCTGAAGCATATTGGCTTCCCTTTTTTCTTAAGCTTTGTTTCTAAACAATTGTCAGAAATACTCTCTTGTTGTGTAAGCATATTTCAATACTATCCCATTCCCATACATCTGCATTGGCTTGTAGCTGAAGTTTTTGCGTCTTGATGTGAATAGCAATGAGTTTTGAGTATGTCAGACTTCATTTACCTATGGCTTTGATAAGTGAATACTAAAAAATAAACTCGACCCCTGGGGCTAAGACCTCCCCCGATGCATTGACTGAAAGGTAGAAGATTCTCTTCTGTAGGGTCAAGAAAAGGCCATAAACCATGGCTAGTTAGGACATGCCACTAACGGCGAGGACGAGCCTACGGCCGCGTATCACGCTGCATCCGTTAGTGGACCACGCGTTTAGCTGAAAATAGCACAAGGAGTGGCCTTTTTTGGTAAGAACGGAGAGTCAAACTTCCAACCTGTAGGTTGCGCTTCCTGCATCCAGTGCACTACGTGCACGCTCTTGTGATAAGCGAATACTAAAAGACTTCCTTAACATATAAAAAGGTAAAAGGTAAATTATGATGTATGAAATAAAGAGAGAAATAGAGAGAGAGAGAGAGAATACTCTTAACTTCTAACTTGCCAGTTCTATATTTTAAAAAATGCAGGGTTTCCTTCAATCGTGATTGTACCAATTGCATCTGTTTCTTCATATGGCGGAACAAAATTGACCATGTTCAGATGCAGAGCTCTACATTTTGTCTGAAGGATTCTTTTATTTTGGAAAGTGTGTACTCTTATAATCTTTATGTGCATGCTCTTTAGCATGTGATATGGATTGGATTTTGAGGGTAAACATCTGTATGAGAGGAGCCAGACGGTGACCGCTCGGTGGTCGAAAACGCTAGTGAAAGGAAGTGCTAGAGGAAGAAGGGAACTCAAGAAGGGGAGGCGCTAGGCTGATGCAACATGTGAAGGATTAGTGGCGAACCTTACTTTGATTATTTGTTATTGCTTAGCATTTAGCAAGATAGATGCACAGTTGCCCCTAAATAAGCAGCATGCTGAAAGTCCAGCTAAGAAACTCTATCTCTAAGCATCTAACAGGCAAGCCATTGAACAAAGCTAATCTGCATGCGGCTACTAGCTAACTAATTTATGCATCTAGAAGTTATAGACTGCAATGTGCTAACTGCTACACGCACCACGGTCTGCTGCTGTTAGGTCTTGCCAATGCTGCTCCCTGGCCATGCGACCGCCGCTGCACAGGCCCAAACCCATAACAATGATTGTGCAATTAAACTGAAATCTGGGATCTCATAAGTATTCGCTTATCATTTATGTTAAGACCCAGAAGCAGACAATGATATGTTACACTAGCACCATGTTTCCTGATCTAAAATATTAATCGTTTCCAGGATGAGCTTATGAGCAATGAGGAGCTGTTTTTTGGTTTGACTCAAGGTCTACGGAAATTTCCAAAAGAATCAGGTAATAAAGTGCTCTCTGGTTATCCTGCTCTGTAAATAAATACGACTCTCAGTTCACAAAAAATTCACTATTGTTGCTTTACATTAGATAAGGTTCTCTGTCATTTCTGCTTCAAGCCCAAAAAGATTAGAGATGAGGTATTGAAGCCTGCCAATGGTAGAAAGAGCCAGATGTTGATTTCTGATATTATTGTTCTTAAAACTGCTCTGGACGCCATACCATTCTTATCCAAGGTCTGATAAACCATTTCACATTCCTTCTGTAAAAAGAAATGCACATCATCACTGGAATTGTAACTAATTATCAATGTGTTTAATGTGTACTCTTTCCATCATCCAGGTTTTGAAGGGGGCAAAAAAGTGTTCTTCTTCACAACATTTATCAGACTGTGTGCGAAAACCCCAAGTATGCGAATATGAGAAAGAGGTAGTTTTATGACCTCCTGCTTCAAAGAGAAAGTTATATGATCTTTTCAATCCACGGAATATGTAGCGACTATCATCCAGTAGCACCATGATAAGTAAATTACACGATAAGAATTTGGTTTCCTTCAGAATTTCACGAATCCTTTTCTGTAACTTTACACTTGAAAACAAAGTTGGAGTTTTAATAGTGAATAACGAATAAATAATTTTCACTAATATATCTTGCTATGTTTCCTCCAAGTATTAATGATTAAAGCAAGAGCTCTTCTATGGATTAAACTAAATTTCGAAACAAGATATTTACCAGTTTGTTCCAAATTCTGCTTGTAGTTCTACTGTTTTTCGGAAACAAATTGTAGTTCTACTGTTTCACCTTGCAGGAGCAGTTATGTTTTTAGTCAACCATAATGATTACATATTGCATCCTTAGATAAGGTTCGTCTTAGATTTCTAGTTCTTAGCCAGAATGCCTGTATTTAGTGTTCAACCACAGTTATATTCCTTGGTATTGCTTATAATTATTGCTACACAGTCATGTACATATTAATGTTCTTATGTTTCCTTTTGTGGTCCTAGAATTGGAGATGTCATTGACGAGGATGTGGTTCATTCAAGGGCTCCATTTGTAGCCTGCACTCAGGAATGTTTTGCTGTTCAGGCAGGAATTGATGGGCTGCTTGATGTTGCTCGTCGATCTTTCTGTGATACCAGTGAAGGTGATGCTTCTTATGTACATCATTCTATTCAGTATTATTCACATTCTTAACAAATTCTGTTGCAGCCATACATAACCTCGCTTAAAAAGTACAGGGAAGAATATAATATGCCAAATTTGAAGATGCCCTATAATGTTAGGCGAGGATTTTACTTTATTATACCCCAAAAGGACATCACCGATAGGCTTCCTAATAAATTTATCCAGGTAATATGAACATGATCTTCCAAAATCATCTTGTTAGCTGTAATATGCTAACCAGTATTTCTGAATTCTTGATGATGAATTAGGTTGTTAGACATGGGAAGAATATCCATTGCTCAAGTTTGGAGCTTGCTTCAGTAAGTTAACTTCCCTGCATTATTCTTAGACATCTTAGTATTGACCAGGAAAGTTTTTCTGCTGACTCTCAAATTTCCAGTGTGATAAATGTTAGTCAAGAATGCATGACTACCCCCGTATACTTTATCCATTTCCCTTACATTGTTCTGTAACTGCGAATGTGCTTGTTGGCTATATAGCTTTGGGATCACTACTACTTTTTTTTTTCTTTCAAAAGCCACACTTCCCTTTTATTAACTGGTGCATAACCTTGGCAAGCACAATTATATTGCAAGATAGCTTTATGATCAAGTACTTTCTATCCAATTTTGCAGCTGAATGTTAGGAACAAGTCGGCTGCTGCTGAGTGCTTCTTCACAAGACGGAACTTTGTTTGGAAGGTTTCTGTAGCAATTAAGCACTGATATTTTTATTTCATTTAGTTCTTGATCTTAGTCATCTGTAGTGTTCTGTTACTTTTTTTGGTTGACTTTAAAACACACGGATCAAGCAGTTCTTCAACTTACTTAAAACTTAGTTTTTTTTCTGAGGAAATAAAATTATAAGCTAGACTTACTGCTATATAACATGTTCCATTTTTTTGCCGGAACACACAGGTGTGTATCAGTGCATTAATAGAAGAGAGTTACAACATACACACCCCAATGAAAAAACAATTACATTAGCGCCTATCCAAATGAGTAAGAGACTTAGCTACCCAGGCCCCAGGGTAAATGAGTTAAGGAAGAGCCCCTTAGCTCCTGCCATACCCCAGAGCTGTGATTCTTCCCCAGTGATATATACTCCCTCTGTTTCAAATTATAAGTCGCTTTGACTTTTTTGGTACATCTATTGTGCTATGTATCTAGATATAACATATGTCTAGATACATAGCAAAATGGATGTAACAAAAAAGTCAAAGCGACTTATAATTTGGAACGGAGGGAGTAAGACTGTAAATAAGTTCGGAGTAGCACTATTAAACACATTTATTTCTGTGTTTCCACAAAATCCATGCACCCAATATGATGAGCGAGTTTAGGCCCTATTCCATATATTGCTATTGCAGAGAGCCAGAGAGATCCTATATTTGTTGTCATCCTCCAAGCAAACGGCAGCAGTTAACCATAACTGAAGAGTGCATGCCATTATTCTAAATTTGTGTTTCTGTTCCCATGCTTCCAATTTAGGAGTTATACCTTTAGTCAGCAATTTGGTAATAAGATTGCAGAAACCATATGTCTATACCTTTCAGCATTGGAGATCATGCCAATGAACAGCTGGATGTACAAAATTGAATGCACTGTTGCTGTTTGTAATTATCTTATGAAAATTTCCATGCAAATCAAATTACAGTGTTGTAACATTTTTTTAAAAAAAGAAACTTGTGGGCACTGGAGCACTTGAGTTTCATGCAATGCTACAATTTGACTACGATGCAAGTATCTTTAAGCTGCCTGAGTTGCTTGTTTATCATTTCAGGGCTTATTGACGAAATCAGAGGAGACATTGGTATCCTAACATTGCTCGCCGAAGTATTATGTCTTTTGGACATGATTGTAAATTCTTTTGCGCATACAATATCTACAAAGCCCGTTGATCGCTACACAAGACCAGAGTTCACAGGTGTGCAATTTAGCTCCTGTCATGTATTTTTCTTAGACCATCCATTTCGCTAATATATATTTGTTGAAGCCAACCGTTGTGCATGGATTTGCGGTCATACTATCCAACCGTTGTTCAACAGATAAGTGTCACGGAAATGCGTATGTTGCGTTGGATTTGCGGTCATATAAGAAGGGATTGAGTTCGGAACGATGATATACGTGATAGATTAGGGGTAGCACCAATTGAAGAAAAGCTTGTCCAACACCGGTTGAGATGGTTTGGACATGTCCAACGGAGACCTCCAGAGACACCGGTGCGTAGTGGAATCCTAAGCCAGGACAGTAACGTGAAGAGAGGCAGAGGAAGACCGAAGTTGACTTGGGTAGAGGCAATAAAAGGAGACTTGAAAGGATGGAATATACCCAAAAACCTAGCCTTAGATAGGAGTGCTTGGAAAACAGCTATTCACGTGCTTGAACCTTGATGGCTTCTGCTGGGTTTCAACTCTAGCGTACCCCAACTTGTTTGGGACTTAAAGGCTTTGTTGTTGTTGTTGTTGTTGTTGTTGTTGCAACCGTTGTGCATGGGCTAATTAAATACTCTATACATGCGTGCGTGCTGTAATTGCACACTTTGAATTAAACGTTGTTGAAAGCAAGTTTCTATTCCCTGGACTTTATGATAGGCATAAAAGGGACAATCTCAACAAAGCATCCTCAGTTAAACTCTGGACAATATTTGAAATGAATAATCCCAAGATTATGGACAAACTTAGTGGAAAAGATCTACTGCAAGTGTGAATTATTTCATTTTAGTGTTATAGGTATCCATCTCTAGTTCATGAATTTTGATTCTTTGTAATTAAGCAGATGATGGTCCAATGGCAATCAATGTCGGACGACATCCTATTCTTGAGACCTTGCGTACTGATTTTGTTGTAAGTTACTTTTTTTGTTGATGTTCTCCATGTGTACTTCATAGTCACTTTCGTTGTTAATTATGTGGATTATATCCATGGCCTAAGTATTGTTTCTGCCATACAGCCTAACGATATCTTTCTCTCTGAAGCATCTAATATGGTTCTTGTCATGGGGCCAAATATGTGAGTGTTATAATTTGTACCTTAGTTGATGCTGCAGGCTATTCATTTATCTGTGGAAGTTCATCTAATCTCTGGATTGTTTGCTATTGCAGGAGCGGGAAAAGCACATATCTCCAACAGATATGTTTAATTGTCATTCTTGCACAAATTGGCTGTTATGTTCCAGCTCAGTTTGCATCCTTAAGAGTTGTTGATCGTATATTCACACGGATTGGTAACGGGGACAATGTTGAAAACAACTCGAGTACGGTATGTGTCTGAAAAGGTTGTGCTAATTGCAAAACATGTAATTGCTAGATGAGGATAAGCCGGATCTCTTCTACGTGATATCAAGTTATCAACCTTGTTTATTGTGCCTTGTTATGCAAACTGTTCATGGAGTTACAAAGTATTCTGGAAATACATGAATAGTACTGTCCTTATATCTGACATACCACAACTATGCACAAAAAGTTTAATTTCTATGATATTTCCATGATAATTGACATTGACAATTACTTTTCACGTTTCTTTCCTTGGCTACCACCTCTCAAGTCTCAAATTCTCAATACACATGTGGAATATGAAGTAGAAAAAAATATAGCTGGATAGTACATTGGTGAGACTGGGCTGGATCATGAAAATCTTGAAATGGTATAAAAGCTCATTGGTCGTACGCTCAATACACATCTGGAATATGAAGGAGGAAAATAAATGGTTGGATAGTATGTTGGTGAGACTGGGTTTTGTGTTTGTATTTTTTATGAAATTTAGATGAGGTTTTTTTTTAGCAGAAAATACAGCAGGGGAGGCCCCCACTGTAAACTTTTTATTAAACAAAAAGAACACCCATAATTCTATACAAGAAGAAACAAAAAGTGAAGAATGCCTGAGGTGGGCAGCAGAGCTAAACTAGAGCAGCTGTACAAGAAAGGAAGACAGAGCGCTTAACGGAACTGAATCTATGGGCCTGTAGTCTAACTTCTTCATAGAAGGAGTTTTTCCAAGAATCAAAGGACGGCCGGCCTCTATCAAATATAAAGTTGTTTCTCTGCTTCCAAATCTGCCAGGTGGCAATGATGAAGGTCTCCATAAAAAAGGGGTTGTTATGTTGGACCTTGGCTTGCTGCATCATCTGGAAGAAATCCATTGTGAAGTCCCAATTTATACCAAGGTGTTGCCAGCAGGCTTGGCTAAAGGGGCAGCTGAAGAACAGATGAAATGCAGTTTCTTCAATGTTGTTGTTGCATAGAACACAATTGTTTAAGTTTGTTCTTATTTACCAATTGCAATCTGCTTCCTTATGGCACCTGATTATTATATAGGATTATTTGAAGAAGCAATTTACATGTACTGTTTCTTCCAGAGGCCAGACTATTCATCAATAGGCACTAGGCAGTAGTCTGTTTGCCACTCTTATCAGTAACAGTTGATTCTTGTCAAACTGATATGATTTGGCAAAGTGTGTGATTTATATTTTATTTATATCTTTCCATAACTAGTGAGTACACAGATTTCCTACGTACTCTAGTTCACTTTGGCTTTGTCCTAATTCAAACTTCTCTAACTTTGACCATGTTTGTAGGAAAAATGCACTGACAACTACAACATCAAATTAGCTTCATTAAATTCTTCATGAACTATGTTTTGAATTGATAATGCATTTTTAAACTTGTATATCCTAATATATTTTTCTAAAATTTTTATCAAAGTTAGAAAGGTTGACTTAGGACAAAACCAAAGTGAACTATAATTTGAATGGAGGAAGTACATAGCAGCTTCCATTTTCTATTGAGTTCAGCTATTGTTTGTCACGCATGATATTATTCTTCATGTATCTAAGTACCTTAATGTGTCTTTACAGTTTATGACAGAAATGAAAGAAACTGCTTTCATCATGCAAAATGTTACTTCAAGGTATTTCTACCTCGTTGCTGAAGACTGAAATTTGATGTCTTGTATTACTCTTGTTTTCTTCTGATGGCCCTGAACTTGTAGGAGCTTGGTTGTTGTGGATGAGCTTGGAAGAGCAACATCTTCCTCAGATGGGTTGGCAATCGCATGGAGCTGCTGTGAATACCTTCTTTCTGTGAAAGCGTAAGAACTTATTAGGTCTCAGGATTCACAGGAAATATGTTCTTCATTGGCGCTGTAAATGCATGGTATTCCTTGTTCTTCATCCTTGACTTTTGGTGCATTTCCTGCACCCTTCTATAGTAAACTGGTTTCTTGATCAAGTATGTATAATGTAATGTACTTACTAACCTCTAGGCTGCTTACAGTTATTGATAGTCTAGCATATCAAGAGTGTGTATTTGTCTTCCTGACCAGCTCTGCACCGTTGGGTTTCAAATTATAGTTGTCAATTAAACTAGTTATACTAGTACTGTCATGGTTAGATATCAGAAGTAGCTATACATCAAGCCACAGGCACTAGCCATGTCTGATGCCTGCCTCTTATCACAATTCGTTTTCTGCAATAGACTCAATTTTTTGTAAACAGAGATTTCATTAAAATATAGAAAGGTGATTGTACTGATTTTGGGGTGGAAAGTGATATATTATTGCTCCTCGGTAACATTGTGTCTTTGACCCATGTAGATACACTGTTTTTGCCACGCACATGGAACGCTTGTCAGAACTTGCAACAATGTATCCAAATGTGAAGATCCTCCATTTTGAAGTTGACTTAAGAAATGACCGCTTGGATTTCAAGGTCGGTAGTACCTGTCACACTAGCGATTTCAGGAATGTGCTTCTTCATGTCTGTTACACTAACATTATACCAACTCCGCTTCAGTTCCGCCTAAAGGATGGCGTCCGACGGGTACCGCACTATGGGCTTCTGCTGGCCAAAGTAGCTGGTATCCCTACTTCGGTGATCGACACCTCAACAAGTATCACTTCACAGATCACGGAGCAGGTAACCTGGCACCTATATGATATGTAGGGATGTACCCAACTGCTGATCATTTGCAACCGAGATATCGTCATCTTTCTATGGCTCCCAATCACAGTTCTATATTCACTAAGTGAACAAAATGATGATTGCTTGCTTGTAGCACTAGCCGCCCAACTATTATACCTTGATTGGGGAGAGCAGGGCTTTGTGCCCAAAACAAACAACTGAGCTTGCACTAGCTGATAGAAATTTGGCTCCTCTCTATCTTGGCTCAGCGATGTCAATAGGTTATTCCCCATCTTGTACTTCTTAGAAGAAATAGTGCCCTCTCTAGGACTTCCTTCTCTACTATCGAGGAAGCAGGCAGGGCAGGCCAGTCCTAACTGACACTACTATAATTGGACAATAGCGGCTAGACGGATGGACAATAGCATTACTATCCTTAACTAACTACTAAGCTGTTCCATTTGCACAGAATTTACCAATGCTGACTGTTTACTCCACATGATTGGGGGGTGGAATCTCTGTCTCAATTGTGCATGTAAATTTTCGTATTTCCTCTTGCAGGAAATGACAAGGATGGATGCCAACTGCGAGGAGTACGGGTCGCTTCAGATGACGTACCAGGTTGTGCAGCGGCTTATCTGCCTGAAGAACTCAAACCATGGCGAAGACTACATCCGTGAAGCACTGCAGAATCTCAAGGAGAGCTATGTTGCGGGCCGGCTAACATAAGAGGTTGTTCTCATTGGTATGAGCTCTGGCCCTTAAATGTTAAATAAGAGATTTTTGGATTCCAAGGTGTTCGTTCGCGTGACATGACATGTTCTGTTATTTTGCAGGTGTATGCCGCCGGACGATCCATCAGCCAATGTATATGTTCCTCTGTCAATGCGAAACTATCTTAGGTCATCAAACGCACATGGCACATCAGTTGTTATCTCACATGTGATGCAACATCTTATCCCTTTTTTCATATAGATGATTACAAAGCAAGACAGAGCATGTGAATGTCCCAAAGCAATTATTATGAATTATGATCTCAGCTACATAGCTTTTACGAAAGAATTACTGGAAAAGATGAAACACCAAAACGAAGATTACATTGGTCGATGCATACTGTAGGTTTAAACAAATGTTGGCATTGTTTTCTGCCAATACATTATTCGATTCATAGTAGCACGAGCTGGGGAGGATTGAGGAGTGAGGAGGAGCAGCGGTGGAAGGCAAGAGAGCGGGGGTGGTGACGTGGTGTGGGGATTGCGCTCGAGGAAAATACCGAGCGACACGGTTTTCGGAGAGTCCGATCGAAAGGGTGGGTCAGAGGCCGGATAGTTTCCACTTTCCAGCCACTCTGCTGAAAGATCCATCTGAATTCGGCTGCTAGACTAGGCAACTAGTAGACGGTTGAGTTTCAAAAAAAAAAAACTAGTAGACGGTTAATTAGCCTACCTCTTTCTCTTTTTTTTGAGATGCCTACCTCTTTCATTTGAGATCTTTTTTACGTATGGCCATTATATTCTTTCCAGCCTGTGTGAATCTTACATATGGCCATTATATTCTTTCCAGCCTCTGTGAATCTTTTATTCCTTTACTTTCAACCTTCAGTAATCTGTTCCTCTAAACGAGGTTTCTTTCTATCAGTCAGTCCTAAAAAATGGCCGCTTTTCTCATATACTTCCAACAAAATGAGAAAATGGCAAGTTCCTGAATCCTGGCTGCAGCAACAGCACGAGTTTCGAGAGCAGCATCACGCCAGCACCACACCTCATGGTTCATGTAAAAATCAGCCTACCAACCCCCAGGTCTTAATGCAAAACATCACATAGCAACCATCTCAAACAATAACATGTCTTTAGATTATTAGGAAGTAAGAAGAACAATAACATGAGCTGGAAGCAAATTAACCTGTTGACGATGCCATTAAGATTCAAGAACATACTTTTAGAAATATATAATCATACAAGCATATACGTATATAGTAAATCGCCAAAAGGGGAAGGATTTACACCAACCATGCTGGCAGTTTAGTTTTGCCAATAACACAGGATCGCTTGGGACTTGCACGATTCATGAACTAATCAAACAAATTAAAAACTGAGACAGACTCATGAACGAACAACTGAACAAGCAATGCAATGCATCACATCTAGCAGCAGCCAGTGATCTGGGCAGTGATGAATCCTCGATTAAGACAAAGCAGGGCAACTCACCTCATGATAAACCCCTAGTTGCCTACCACCACCATCAATTGCTTATTAATGCAAAATACCACATAAGTATTGATGAACCATCTCAAACATGTAATTGGGAAGCAAGAAGAACATAACAATCACTCAGAAAAGAAAATTAATTTCTCATTGATGATGTCATCAAGTTTACAAACATAATCATACAAGCTACATATGAGTCACCAAAAGGGGAAGGATTTACACCAACCATGCGGGGCACTGGCAGTATAGTTTTGCCGATAACATACAGTAACTTGGGACTCGCACGATTCATGAACTAATCAAACAAAAACAGCGACTACTCATGAACGAACAAGCAAAGCATATCCAGCACAGAATCCGATTCATGGTAAATCGTCAAGCCCGGGCGGGGAGCTCCATCTCCGGAAAGAGGCTGCGGATGAGGCGCAGGCTCTTCCCTGTCGTGGTTGGCCTCGGCATCTCCTTCTTCGTAGTCGCGGCGACAGTGGCGGTGGGCGGAGGCAGGGACCGCGGTGGGGTCGTCGGCGACGGAGACGGATTGATCACCCTGACCTGGTGCGGCGCGACGTGGACGGTGCTCTTGGGATCGCCGCGTGGCCAGTTGGCGTCGTAGACAACCTCATAGCCTCCGTCGGTGGACGACGACACGATCGTGGCTTTGAGGCAGAGCACGAGGACCTGCCCCGTCTTCAGCGTCGCAGTCCTCGTGCGGACACGAACCACCGTCCCGGGCTTCAGATGCGCGGGGACGCCAGGAGTAGCTCCCCGCGCGGAACTGGCCGAAGATGGGGCGGACCGAGGCGGCGTCAGCGGCGGAGAGGCGGGGGTGCAGCGCGACGAAGCTTGAGGCCTGGGATGTGCCGACGCGTCGACGACGGTGGAGCCTCGGGAATGGGCATTGGTCTACGATGGGACCTACCGATGCGGTGCAGGAGGGCATGGACCCCGGACGGCGTCGCTCGAACCGTGACGCGGCGGCGGCGATGCGCACGGCTTCTTGGCGACCGACCTCGTGGGCGCCAGGGGCTTGGACTTCCTGCGCTGGAGCTCGCGGAGGATGCTGCGCATCCCTGCGGAGGAGGATCGCGGCGGAAGATAGATCACCATGTTGGAGGAGGACTGTGGATGGATTGGATCGACGAGAAGCAGAGAGACTGGGTGGATTGCGGAAGAAAGGCGACGGCGAGAGAGCAGAGCAATTGCGTTGCGCGGCAGGGGAAAGGAAGGGAAGGGGAGGGCGTGGGGTTCTAAGCAGCTGGGCTGGATCTCAGATCTGGCCCAGCCACGCGCTTTCGAGTCCGACCGAAGTTGGATGATGGGCTAGTTGTCGTGAGGGCCAAGTCGAAATCGAGGCTGGATTTTGTTTTCCTCAGCCGTTGGGCTTTCTCGGCTGAGGGAGCCGCCGTCGCCGTCTCGGAGGAGCAGGGAGATCCGGTCGGGAACGACCCAGAGGCTCGGACAAAACTGGGAACGAAATGTCTAAATGGAGTAGTATGTGGGTTGGGTTATGCTGAATTTCAAATACTCTTTTTTTAGTTGTTCTAACAGACATATCCATAGAACATGATGGAAATGCTGTTTTCTTCGAGATGTCTAAATGAGCAGGCATCTTTTTCTTTCTTTTTTCAGGCCAAGAGAGTTTTGAAATCAGGGGGAAATTTGTGTGCCTTAACCTTTCCGAACCCCATATTTTAGTTTTTTTTTCCTTTTTTTTTCAATTTTGACCTTCTCTTTACCTCTTCATATTGATTTTTTTCAGATATTTCTGTAACTTTCATCTATGCATCTCTCACTTACCATGTTCGTTTTTAAGTAATTTAATTTAATTTAATGAATTTCTTAAATCCATGTTAGTATAATAGCAAAGCTTGCAAGACCACAGAACCACTTGAAAGAACAAAACAATATTTTTTGTGCAGCCAGCCAGTCGAGATTTGTTCACAGATATTGGTGTCCAAAAATGTTGAAGTTAGGCTACGGATTCTAAAACTTTGGTTATGTTTTATAACGAAACACCGATAAAGGGAAATTGATACAGGCACAGTTCATCGTTCTGAGGCCTTGGAGCCGTGACGGTAGCCCGTGACACACCAGGACGAGGTCTACACTGACTTAGCGGCGCTTATGTGCTGGCAAGCAGGTTTGGCTGCTCCATCCATGTCCATGATATAAACTAGCAGGAACCCGCGCGTTGCCGCGGACACAATGTGGCAGGCTGAAAAAATGGCAAGTTGTATGGTGTAGTTGCAAATGAGGACACTTATCAGCTGGTTGAGAACAGTTTGATTGAAATAATAGCAGTGATGTCCAATCGATATTTATAGGAGCAAGATTGGTCGCTACAAAGTGAAACGGAACTTGTAAGTTTGGAACGGAAAAATTATTGCTGAAAGTTGCGACAATTGCGACAAAAGTGTTCTGAAAGCACAAAGAGAGTAGGATATAAATTAAACATAATAACATGAGTCACAAATTTTTGTTTTAGCTACCTCTTATTAATAATTTCATTTCGCAGAAGGTAGCATGGGTCATTAAGTTTTGGATTTACACAGTTAGGAGAGATCTAATAATTTGGATTGGACAAAAGACATTAAGATATCAAACTGTTCAAGGAAGCTCCATCTATATCATCCAGTTGATGTTTCTAAGGCGAACCAATACCGTACATGGAAGATCTATATCTGTATAAGAAAACGACAATAAAATTTTAGTATTGTTTTATAGTACTAATTCCCGTAAATTGCAGAAGCCAGATGAGAGTTTTTCTTATTCTATTGTAGGTACATATATGACAGACATTTACCAAGTATGTTTCAATAAAGCGAGAAAGCAATACCTATCCTAGGATAGGAATATTACTTGGCGTGGTAAACATTGAAGGGCAGTCTACACACACACATCCTACCCTATGTAAATTAAAGTAGAGTTAACTTCAAACCACATAGAATTTTAGGTTAGTCCTAATTCATATTTTCATTTAACAGAAGGCATCAAGGTTCATTAAATTTGGATTTGCAATTAGCAGTGGTGAACTAAAATTGATATTGCACTGCTAGGCCGACCAATGCATGAGTACTAACCTTGAGTTGTCTATCGTCGTACTGGTCCAAAGGCACAATAAGTGTTGCATCAAAACACCACCAAACTTGTGGCAATCAGTTTATTTGCATTGAATTCACATGATGAAATAATTTAAATGTAGAATTAAACAATTTGAATCCCTATGAAAATTAGACCAGAGAACTCCATACCTATCAGTGAAGGCAGTAAATTGCAACATTCAGAATAATGTAAATGAGTGGTATCCATTATTCTCATAACCAAGAAAAAGGCATTTATCATATTTTGAAATACTACACGTCATTGGTTAATATGGAAGTGATGTTTAGCCAAAAAAAAAAAGGTAACCGAAATGAAACAAATGGTTCCCTTCACTGCAGCTGCATTGTATTAGGGGCCTGGTTTATTGTTTTCAGTTTGGCTATGAGGATGTTAGCACTTTGAGTAGGCAAAATTGAAATCGATTCAGACAACACAACAGCAGAAGAAAGGTGTGCACAACTGGTTGAAAGAGCCTAAAAGTATTATCCATGAAATATGAAATATGTGCTGAATTAGCTGACAAAAGTCATTCAAACTATTATCCATAACTTCGAAAAAACAAAACGACAAAGATTGTACCTGTACGGTGATTGCATGAACACCATCATACAGGACGGGTGTATTTATAAGTGAACTCATAGGAAGGATGTCGCTAGAATGAGGTAGTGTACTCATAGCAAGGGTATTGCAGCACACTATCATTCATAGAAGTTTCTGCAAAGAGCATAACAAAGAAAATGATACGTGAATTAGAAGTCGCAGGAATAAAAGAGATTGCTAATTTTAGGAGGCACGACTAAAACCCAAGTACGAAAAGCAACGCTAACAGAGCAGACCTATGGGTAGCAATGGAGCAATGCTTCCTGATTTGTGAATCTTGCAACATTTAAGGCTTACGCTTTTTATGGGCTTCTCCAGTTGGTGCAGCATTTATTTATTGGCTTCGAGAAATCTGAAAAAAAACGCAGAGTGACTGCATTAGCAACCATGCAATGGTTAGAAAGCAAATAACAATAAAAATAGGTAGTCCGGAACAATAAGTGATATAGATTAGCATATGGCAAACATCAGTATCATTCCATTTGGTCATAAAAGTATTTACGACAATCTCCTTGTGGCCTCAGAAATGCAATTATGCATTTTGTAGGTCTACTTTCTCTGCACAGGTATAGGCAAGGGCTTACAGCAGTAGGTACAACTAAGATTAGAAGGGAATTATATGTTTCCATATGCTGTATTCCAGGGAAAAGGAATACAATGTGTCTCACCGTTTTCCTGTGAGCAAAGACATGTATTCGTTCCAAAGAAGTCACAAATCACATTAGATATCCGAACTCGCTGGATCCATAAGAGAGCAGCAACATGGACCATATCAGAGGCCACAATGCACGAAATATAAATAAAATAAATTATTTCTTGTAATTGAGTTGTGACATAAAAGAGGTTCTGCTTCATTTGCAACAGTTGGTCCAATGCAACGGCCATCCTGGAGGAAAAAAAAAGATAGATGTGTTTCATGTCAGAAAAGTATGACAACAATTTTGCCTGCATATGGCTGATTGTGATTGAGCTAAAATAAACACATGGTACCAGGCATATGAACCCACATGTAGATTCATAGACAGGTGCAAAGGCCATTTGACTAAGCATTGTGTGGAATCATTCATGCACTAACCGCCTTGGTAAGGTTAGACTGAAATTAAAATTTGAGTGATAGAGTGAAACACCACCTGATCAACAGGTATCATCATTAGGGACTTCTGTCTGATCAAAGATTCAAATGCTTCATTTTCCCGTCCAACGGTGGACTCAAATGTTTGCACCCTAGTGGAATCTTCATAAAAAGGAAGTAAACTTTTAACTTCCTTGATGAGTTGACTGAGGTGTGGGAAACAAAATAAATACATAAGAAAATTTGACGTTGCCTAGAAACTGGCCAACTGCATTTGTATCAACAAATTGGCTTTTACGTACAGAAGTATGAGCATTGCCATGTTGGCCATTGCTGCTGTGTCGGCAGGGGTAGGACCATACAACCTACATGAGAGGGAACAAATACTTGAACAAATACTTGCCCTGTTCGCTTGGCTGATAAGCCATGGCTGAAAGTATTGTTGACTGATTTGTCGTGAGAGAAAAATATTGTTCGTTGGCTGAAAAAGTACGACTTATAAGCCAAGCGAACAGGGCGACTGAGTGTGGCTCTGTCAAACCTATAACAGAATAGAAGTAAATATATTTATAAGTGGAAAAAGTCCATTTTTGACCCTCTAACTATGGTTGCAGTTTGTTTCTAGCCCTCTAATTCGAAAACCAGACACGCGCTGTCCCTTAACTCTCAAAACCGTTTAAAATTGGCCCTCGCGCCCATTCGACCCTGGTTTCAGCCCAGTCAACCCGCCACGATCGCAGTTTCGGCCCAGTCTCCATGTCTGACGAGCTGGGTCCACATCGCGAACTTCCATCGTCTCAGGCAGAATAAACAGAAGGGCAATAAGCCTGCGGCTGTCGCTGATGCAAGCTCGTTGCTGCTCCGATTTGGACGCGCGGACGCACTTGCCGTCCACGCAGGGCCTCCCCTGCTGCACTGTACAGGCTCACCGCCACCGGCTAAGCTCCCTTCCCGGCGAGGCCCCCCATACGGCCTCATCTCCGGACGAACTCGCCACAGCCGCCCGCACTCGCTGCTCTCCTGCGCGCAGATCCGATGCGGGATGGCGCTGGGCTACTCGCCGTCGCTGGAGGTGCTGCCGCGAGAGGGGCCGCCTGGTGCCACGCCGGGCTGGCCACGCTCACTGGAGGTGGCGGCCGCGTTGGGCTGGCCCCGCCGGACCAGCCCCGGCCACGCGCGCTCCACCAGCCGAGCGGCGGAGCCTCCGCCTACACCACGACGGCCGAGTCAACCCGCCACGACCGCGGTTTCGGCAGCGCCGCCGCGGCTACGCCGGGGACGCTGGACGCGCACT